TTTGGGTAACATGGGTGGCGTACGCGGCTAACACGTCGCCTTTGACTGCTGTGGATCAAAAGGTTCGGGTGCCGGGTTCGAGCCCTGTGGGCGCCACATGTGAATTGAGTTTGTTAAAAACAACGTGAGTCGAGAGTTGTGTGTATAGAATACTGAATGTAGTGGTAGTGTGTGCGAGTGAAAAGTGTCCCCAATTAGTGCGAAAGCGCTAGAACAACTAGACACTTTAATAAAGAGATTATTATTTATTTGTTTATTTATTTGTTTGTTTGTTTCAAAGTTATATTGGACTCTTTTCTCTATCTCACCAGGGAAAAAAGTAGTCGAAGAATCCTTTGATGTTGAAACTGCAAGATCTCTATCAAAGTACATTAAGCAAGACTATACCAAATTAGCTCAAAAAGTCGACCTATCCGACAAGTGTAATTTCATAAAGAAAATGAAAGGAACTTCAAGTGATCTATGCTTTATTTTCCTTAAAACCTGGATATCGCATAAAAAGCCGACTTTACATTTATTAATGCAGAAACTCAGAGAGATTCGCTGTGAAGAAGGGATGAAAGCATTGATGAAACAATTTGAGGACCGTCTAGAGAAAATAATTAGACCCGAAGCATCTGCATCAGAAAGGTTAGATTCTCGCAAGAATAGGAGGCACAATAACTTTGAACTTTGGCCTGTAGCTTTTCATTTGAATACCAGGTTACATAGTGGCTTGTACCTCTTTTAAAACGAACAGAACCAGGACATTTCCAAGTGTTTACTGTTTGGAAAGCTTTTTATGTTTCTGCAGGAGTTTTCTACAACTCAGAAAACACCGGGAGCGGAACACATTCTCGTCTTTTGGCTTCTATCACCAAATAGACCCATTTCAGACCACGTGCCATTCCCTAGAGTATCATTTCTTTGTTTAACGGTTGCATATGACAAGACACATGAAAAAAGTTACAACTCAAACGAGCTGTATCTATTTTCAAGAGAATGACACGTGATCTTAAAACATTACACCCAAGATAGAGATCTATTTACAGTCTGCATTAGTAATATTTTGATTAGAATAAGATGTCTGGAAGTTGTGAAGGTAGCAGAAGCATGGAAAACGCTCTAAGACGTGTTAATCGTTAGTTTACGTTAACTTTTTTGCCAGCAGTGTAATAGATACTTAATAGGACATTTGCATTAGGGTGTCATTAATTACAACTTTTAGAATCCTTTGCACTCTTTGTTTTGTTTAGTTAAGTAGCACCAATTGTCTAACTATTCTCACGAGGCAATACAAATTGCAATAAGGAAATTCTCAAAGCATTTTGGTAGTTGTAGTAAAATGACATCATGCAAACGTCCTATTCCCAAGTACTGCAGTGTGTCCTCTTTGTTAACTTCTCTTTTGTTCTTTTATTTACGATAGTGAGAACACAGTGGTTACAGTGGAAGGTCATTACCAAGAAGCATCAACAACTGAACCGTTAGCAGGTCAACACATTGATACTAGGAAAACTATTGATAGTCCAGCTACTGAGACTTCTAGTGATCTGGTTCAGGGTTTTCATGCAGGCAGTGTTATCACTGATATTGATACCTCGGTAGGTTATTCTATCGATGAATCTCACATGCATTGGAGTCCTGTGGCCGATGTTGCCACTGATGTTTCCCTGAATGACTCTAGCATTAGTGCTAGTACTACGAGTGATGCTGATGAAACTCTACCTGGAGAGGATGCTGCTAGTAATGAAGATAGTCCTGATAGTGCAAGTGACATAATAGATGAGAATACGAGCAGCAGTATATCATTATTCTACCCAGGCATGTGTCTTGTTGCCTTATCACTAGGCTATATTTTTTTCCGCTATATAAGAAGATAGCTTTGCCTGTTTAATAGAGTGAAGACAATTAACCCGTGAAATAAATAATGCTATAAGTCAAGGTGTAAGATGATAGTCAAATAGACACAAAAGAAAACAAGGGAATTAGGGTCTACTAATGTGTATTAGACTAATAATAAATGTATTTAATGGGTTTAATGACTTCACTCTCAGCAAAGCAAATGGTGTAAATAATAGGGAGATAATTGTGGAGTTGCGATTCTAGACCATTCTCAACTAGTTTCTACCAAAAGTTTCAGGATTGTACAGATTTAGGTAAGATAGTACACACTGCCAGAAGCACTTGTTTTTATGCTAAAGAGCCATCCAAATTCCCTGTGCTCCACCCCCGCCCATCAAGTCTTGAAAGTGGACCATGGGACATTGGTTAGAAAGTGCAAAAGTTGTTAGTCCCTTCACTGTACATCAGTTATTAGAAAAATAGATAGATATAGGCGGTATATTACTATTGGTGGGGGATGACCATTAAATATCCAGTCATCATTCTTCAATAAGTTTTATAAAATAATTGGGATACTACGCGCGCTATGATTGGTCGAAAACCATGTTTGATGAGAGTATCGAAACACGCTATCGTCATTTTTAATCTATCGCGCKCGCTCATTGGTCAGTTTGAATAAGACGGCACGTAGGGAGAATTTACTTAGACTTTGCTTTTTTTCGATCTTTTCGCGAGTTTGTTATTTTATAAAACAATTCAAAAACAGTTTTCCGTGTTTGATACTCTGATCAAAACACTTGGGATGTTTGGAGAACACTCGAGAAGCTGGAAACCACTCCGCTACGCGTCGTGGTTTCCTACGCTCCTCTCGTGTTCTCCCAACATCCCGCGTGCTTTGATCAGAGTATCAAACACGGAAAACTGTTTTTGATCTTTTGAATTTTAAATAGATTCATCATTATTTTTATAATTGGTAGGAAAGGAGAGTACATATAATGACAAAAAAAAACACTGAATAATTTTATTTTTAATACTACTGTTCTTAGATACTAGACAGTCTAGATCTCAATACAATAGCAGGCTTGAAATTACAGAAACAATGCTGTAGTCATGATACGTTAAAACAGTCAAGTTACAGAAGCTGGAGGGAAATTGTATAGTTTTTACTGATTTTCTTGTAATAAAAAGCTGTCCTGTAGCTAACCATATTACTAACAATCTCATTGAAGTTAACAATGTTCACAACTGATTTTATTCAAAGTTCTGTAATGTACATGTAGCACAAGGAAGCCAATGTAGTGCATTGAAGCATTCTTGACCAGCAGAGATTGACAGATGTTACTCAATGTTCCCATGATTTCCATTCCATCCCATCTGGTGGTTTTCTTTCCACTTTTGATTTCTGCACTTCCTCCCAGTTTGTGCTCAGTACCGTACCACCTGACTCTATAAAAGATTTATTCATGGCTTTCTTCACTGCATCTCCACCGTCACCATAGATTTTTTGAAAGAGTGCCGACAGAGCGGCTTCACCTTCCTGTTTTTCATCATCGTCATCTTTAGTGATGTCGGCTGCTAGACGGTCCCAGTCCTTAACAACATGGCGTGATGACGGATACTGGTGAACGATATCAATACTTTCTTTTGATTCTATGGAAAATTGGAAACGTTTAAGTCAGAACAACTGGGAACGTTGTTAAATTCATAAATAACTAATGAGTATTGACGGTTTTCATGGCAGCCATGTTGGAGGAACTTAAAAGAATTGTCAATGACTTCTTTTGTTATATCCTCCAACATGGTTGCCGTGTCTTTTGTTATTGGGAACGGTTGAAAACCATCAATTCAAGCCAATTCAATTTTAGGAATCATATCACATGAACATCAAGTAAACTCCTTTGCAAACTTAACAATGAAAATGTTAATTAGATGCAAACACTGGTGGATGTATAAGTCAGACTGTTCTAATGCAGCACTAGTGGTAAGCATATGAATTCAAAATGTTCCAAAGGATTTATGGATTGCTATCCCCTCCGGCTTATGATTGTACATTACATACGTGTATACACTGATAGAGCAGGTGCATGTTACGTCATTGCTGCCATCTTGGTTGACGATAACAAAACATTCCTCATTAGCTTCTCTTGTTAGATCAACCAAGATGGCAGCTGTTTCATTGTTATTCATATCTCAAGGGATTTTGAGTCACCTATTGTTGCACACACTCTATACAAGACAGCCGCTCATGTCGTACAGTACATTGCAAACAGAGAAGAGATATTACTAGTCTGAGGAAGGGATGCATGTTTATAGAGTATGCCTTACCTGATGTGGATGCTGTTGGTAATGTGGTTGCTGTTGGAAAACTCTTCACTTTGGTGGCTTCAGAGGTTTTTTCTAGTGTTGTCCAGTGGATGGCTTGTGCTTTCTTGAGCTTTAACTCAATCTAAATTAAAAGGTCAAAAAACATCATAAAAATGATTTGCCTGGAAGAAGAGTATGGATTATTTTCATTTTATTCTATCGTAAAAAATACTGTCTCATCCTTTGCTGCACTGTCGCTTTTGCCATTTCCCTGCCCTTCTAACTAAGTTGCATTTTTTTCAAACTTATGTTAACGTTAGTAAAGTAAGTCCTAAACATCTTTGAAAACTTATGCACAGCGTAATCACAAATACACAGCTTAATCATCACGTTTTTCCTTCAAATGGCAGACATGATTATGTTTTTATTATTCGCCTGTATTTTATGAGATATTTGTTGTTGTTTTTACTTACCAACTACTAGTACGAGTGTATTCTGTTAATGGGGTACACGAGTACTAGTGTTACATGCGCATTACCATGACATACATCTGGGCTGTACTGTAAGAGAGATGCCTTAAACTGTCTAATGTTTTCTCCCCTAACAAGTTCATCAAACAGACTTAACATACCTTGGACTGCAGAATTCGTGTTTTACATTCCTTGACATTGATTGGATGTGCCAAGTTAAAATCCAGCTTGTATTCTCCCCCAGTAGGAATGTTAACAGTACCTGATAACTGTGAAGAACGATAAATAACAAATATTTAAATTTGTTTATTTAATACTAATGTCATTGAAGTTGTTGTAGTTTTAGATAAGTTTAATGATCAATTTAAACTAATATTTTAAATAAATTTGATTTTAGCTTCAAATATAAACCTCCTTTTCAGTTTTATGCAAATTTCTTTTATCATGATCAATGTATTGTAAAGCATTGTTGAAGCCAGGCGATATTGACGCTATATAAAATACTCTTTATTATTATTGTTATTATTATTATTATTGAATGGTCATTTTCCAGGGTTTCACTTGACATTCACTTACTGCTTGTTCATGGTAAGAAATATTGACATTCTGTGCATGGCAATTCTTGATCATCAATGCAACCACTACTTGAGTGTCTGTTTGGTACCAGTCATGTCTGCATTAAAAGACAGAAAAAATCAGTGTTTTATTAAAAGGACATCAAGCAAACTATGTACTGTAAGTAATAGAATACATTTAACAAATAAAACAGCTTTTCCCCTGCACCATTCAGTTATAAAGCATGCAGGAAATGATGTAAGCATGAAAGAAGTTCACACTTCTCGAGTGCTTATAGCACTTCCTAAGTGCTTTATTACTGAATAGAGCATGGAAAAGCTGTTTTATTCGTTTTAAATCTAATCACATTATAAATCCAATTATTCAAATTAGTTATTTTATTCGATACCCTGAAACAACCTCTGGGTTAATCGAAGTCAGGGCACTGCTAACTCACAGTTGGAACCCTGAAACAACCTCTGGGTGCATCAGGGAACTCCTGCTACTCACTAATCAAACCCTGTAACAACCTCTGGGCTAATTAACTCACAGATGGGTTTGTATCTGTGACTGAAAATGTCTCAGTCAAAACTAATACCAGTTGTGGATGGTTTGCTCTGGTAATGCCCGGGTACTGTATAATGTGAGTAAAGTTGATTGTTGGTTCTCTCTTTTCTACTGTTGATTTTTTTTTTTTTCCTTCACAAAAATGAATTTCTGAATTCTAATTGGCAGCCTTATCAAGTCAGTTGCAAATGGGTTAGACCAGAATTCCATCCACCATGGATCGGAATGGTACTGTAAATCCTATTTAATATACAGTACAGTCCCCGGGGGGGGGGGGGGGGGGGGGGGGGGGGGGTAATCTTGCCCGTTTAGGGTATGGATGTGCCGCTGAGCCCTCTGAACCCTGACCCTGTTGCAGAGTAAAAATCGCTGAAATTCATACCCTGTTCCAGAGCAAGATCGCTGAAAACTCTGTTCCAGAGAGGAGAGATCATGATTTCATATACCCTGTTCCAGAGCAAGCACGATTTTAAATACCCTGTTCCAGAGTAGAATTGCTGAAAACCATACCCTGTTTGGCGGGACGTACCCGTATAGCGAATATAGGGGAGTACCCCCCGCGGGGTACAGTCTTCAATTAAGTACTGTACCTAACATGTATTTTTTGCTCTTCCTGTTTCTTTTTAATATCTTCCTCCTGTCCTTCTTTTCCTTCTGTATCTTGTTTTGCTGAGATCTGGGTTAAGAGTAGTCACACAGTCATGGAGTATTCACTGAGCACTCAAATTCATTTTACAGTTTACAAAAGTAGACAATCTTTTCTTTCAATCTTTCTGATACATGTATACTTGATAGTTAACCCATATATTTTGATTACCCATGTACAAGATTCATTAAATTGGCAGAAACAGCCAATGATGATTTCAATCTCAAGGGCAATTGTTATCTTGAAAGTCAGTATACATGTAAATGTATATATATATTGTAGCTTCCTCTTTAGATTTTACTTTATTACATGTAAATGGCTTCATTAAATATGTGTAGTCAAAAACTTTTGGACATAATTGCAATACTACAATATCATTTTTTAAACCTACATTTGGAGACTCCTCTCCAGCTGGTTCAACTCTTTCTTGCTCTAGAATATCGAATAATATAATATATGCAAGTTTAGTATAGTACCTTTAGCATTGTGTGTAATACACTTTACCTTTACTTTTCAGGTGGGGGGGGGGGGGGGGGGAAAAACTACACAACATACCCTCCTCATACCTTCCCCACCCCCCTGAAATTCCAATCCTTTTTTGGGGGGGGGGGGGGGGGGGGGATGTAATAAATCAAAGTGTGTCATGAATGCAGTTGCACCATATTACAATAATAGCGCAGCGAACTGATTCTAAAAATAGCTTAAAGATTCAGACAAACATTGCATTCCGCTACGAGGATTATACGAACCGATTTTATCATTTTTACTTAAAGTTACAATAATAACAGATGTAAACTAAGATCAACTGCGATCGGCTGTGAAAATTATCTGCTGAAAGTAAACTTGTAAGTTTGTTTGTCCGAATTTTGCCTTTGTCTATGTTTTTATGACGTCACGGTTGCGCTGCGCTATTGTAATATAATGGCCCAACTGCATTCATTAATTATTAATTCTGATCACCTCCAAGTTGAGTGTCCTCAGGAAGTACTCATGGGAGGATTGATATTGTGAGGTTATTGATTTAAAAAAATGACAAAATCTTAAAAGCTGCAACTACATGTACCTCTTGTTAATTTTTTTTGTTAAATAAAATAATTGGGGACGCTTTTCACTCACGTGCACTATCACTACATTTAATATTCTATGCACACAACGCTCAACTCACATGTTGATTTTTACGGAGGGAGGAAACTGGAGAACCCGGAGAAAACCCTCGTAGCATAGGAGAGTACAACACATCAAACAAACTCAATTCACATGTGGCGACCGCAGGGCTCAAACCAGCGACCCGACCCGTTGGACTCACAGCGGTGAAAGAAGAAGCGTTAGCCACGAACGCCACCCATGCTACCCATAATAAAATAGTTGTACAGTAGGGCAAGAATCTAGAATAGAATAGAATCTCTGATTAACTATATCAGACTACTTACTTTTCTCAGGGATACTGTCTTTGATGCCCAGCTCTGAATTACACTTTGAGAGCCAAGTTTTCATTTCTATATTTTCATCTAAAGATATTCAACAATATAGATTAAAAGTAAGTGCCAATAACTCTGCCGAAGCCGGTCCCAAGCCCGGTTGAGAAAGGAGGAGGGTTGGTAATGGGCCGTCCCATTCCCATAAAAACGAATTTGCTACAGAAATGAGTGACAAATATTTATAAGAAAAATGTGTCTTGTCTTGCACCCACAAGCAGTGAAGAGGTTAATTAAGTAAGCAGTAAATAATACTGTGTATAAGTACAGATCAACCAGAAAAATATTTTCTGATGACAGCTGATTCAAAGATTATGAATAAAATGCTGATTTTTTCGTGCTTTCCAAACTTTTGTCTTATTGAAGCCATTTGAAATTGCTATCCTTAGCAACACTTGCTACACCCCACATATATATATAATTATATATAACATAAAGGAAGTAACCTGACCTCCTATCATTCTTATAATTATTTGGAGTAATTTTACTTGGACCATATGATGAAGTGGAATTAGAGACAAATAGTCAAAGTAAAACAAAAAACTCTGACTGTCAATAGTAATACAGATGTAGGATACTCACTGTCTATTTGCAGTCCTTGTTCAAATGCTTGCTTTGCATCAGCAAATTCACCCAGATGGAAAAGAGATACTCTTGAAAAAGAAAGAATATATATCCAGATCTACACAAAGTTCAACTGTAATTCAATAGTGTATCTTGTTGCCAGGGGCTTCCTTGCTCCTCATGCTGTGTAATTCTGACTTTAAGTTTTATCAATACCCTGAAACATCCTACATGTATAAGCTGGTCAATTCAAGTCAGAGCACAGCTAGATTGCAGATCAAATAGGAATTAGCTTGTTAGGTTTTGCAGAGGGAGGAAAACTGGAAGATAGTGAATTCTATATGACATTGTATACACCTATTTCAATAAACGTTGTAATCACCAAAGGTGATAGGCGTTAGGTGAAAAGCGCTAGGAGATACTGTAGGTCATTCTAAGATCCAAGAATAGCTTGAATGACTTGTGTTTCTTCTGCTTCTTATTTTCCTCAAGAACATGGAACCTCAATGTCTGATTCAATATTCTTTGTATCGATGAAATCATTTCCATGTCAAAATGACTATCTCTTATCACTTTTGGTGATGACAACGTTTTTTGAAATAGGTGTATACAGCTGTCCTCATACCCTTTTCTTAGATGAGCTTTGATATTCTTTGAGTCCAGGTCTATGGCAACATTAGCATCTGTACATGCATCTATCCACCAAAAGAGTGTCAGTAACTTAAATATTGTGGGCCATTTACACACTTAAATTTTATCAATACCATAAAACAATTCCCCTGGCCTGATCTAAGTCAGCACACAGCATGCTAACCCAGAGTTAGCACGCTGTGCACTGCTAACCCAATTTATTTTTTTTTGTAGGGTTTAATATGGGAACAAAATCAGAGAACCTGGGGAAAAAACCTTAATTCAGGGTCCACAGATCCAATAAACCTTGTGCGTAGTCACACGCTATTTCAAGTCCAAGAATCAAACCAATGAGCAACTAGAATCGAGGTGAGAGCTTGTGCATTACTGCTAGTACATTACCCAACACAATACCCCCTAAAGGTGATGTTACGTGGATATTAATCACTGATTAATGAGTCTAGACCTGGGGGAGACAGCCTGGCATGGTGTTAGGTTAACAGGTCATGTGCCTTGATGACCTCATAACCCAAGTATTTTTATCCCATCATATGAGCTAACTAGGGTACCTTGTGCAGAATATGCAGATGACTGTCTTATTTATATTCCTCTATCAAGTAATGACGACATGGATAATTTACAGTCTGATCTTTTCCACCTTGAAATATGGCAAAATATGTGGCAGATGGAGTTTAACCCAGATAAATGCTTCATTATGAGCATATCCTTACAAAAATCTCCACCTCACAAAGAATATGTTTTCTGTGGATCAGTTCTGAAGTATGTTGATGTGCATCCTTACTTGGGAGTCACATTAGACAACAAGTTATGATGGAACTACCACATTCAAGAAATTACATCCAAAGCTACACTAGTGCTGAACTTAATTAAGAGRAATTTTTGGTTTTGTAATCGAGATGTCAAGTGTACCCTGTATAGGTTTCTGGTTCGACCAAAGTTGGAATATGGATGTACTGTATGGGATCCTCAT